AACTTCCGAATTACTTCACGGATTACCGAATTACTTTGACAGTTTATAAAATAAGACGTGAACTTTCTAATTTTTTTGTCTTACCCCCCTAGGAATTCATATTCGTGGCTCGGAATTCAATCTTGTGACAGAAAATCGTTACTTTAATAAGACTTCATTATGATAAGATGATCTTCAAAAATTAGGCAATCATAATAAAGCCCGCTATGCTAACAAGGGCTGCTAATGCCGGTAATGCAATGGCTCAATATAATCTGGGTGATATGCACTTGAAGGGAAATTTATCGTCTCTTTCAAATTCAGACTTAGGCATTAAGTATTTAAAATTGGCAGCGTTAAATGGCCATTCAAAGGCTGTAGAGGTTCTAAAGGAGAAAAAGATAAATATTAATGAATAAAAACATTTAATTAAACGAACTCGATTTTTAGTCTGTTTTACACTTGATAAAATTCGGTTTTCAAAATAACATACGTGTTTTATTAAATTATTTGTGCTTTAATATAATATATTTTTATTGTTTTTATTTTGCTTATAAGCAAGAAATAATACAAAGACAAATTCCCTTCATAAATAAATAATTTATATTTCAGCCCTCTGAGAGGGCGATTGAGAGTTAATATTATTAAGGAAATATTATTTTGAACTGTAATAAATAATATCTTATAATAAATTTTAATACTAGATCTGTCATATAAACAAAAAGATATTGTTTAGTCTTTGTAGTTAATGATTAGCCATAACGATTCAAATGCTTGCTAAAATTTAATAAAAACATATACTGCTTTAACGTTAAGCATAAATAACACCTGTCTGATAACGGATAACGTTTATTTGTAAATTTACGATTAGCCTAATGAATTGAATTCTGAAAGAATTCAATGACTAGGCTGGTCTTAAATTGTTGACCAAAGTAAATAAGTTTTAGGATTATCAGTATGGCTGATAACGGATTAATCCGGTAACTTATTGCTTGCCATAAATTTATTATTCGCGATTTCTGCCGAACAATAAATTTATTCTGCAGGCAAATAATAGTAAGCTACTGAGTAATTAATATTTATTGGATGATTTACACCCAATAACCATATAATATAAAGACTATTCTCTCCATGAAAATAAATAATTTATAATCATTTAAAGATAAATTTGGAATTATTTTAACTTAAATTTCTACTCGGGAGGAGGCTATAGCAAGGTTTTATCTTATTAAGAAGCCGTTCCTTTGATTCGCTAATGAACAATTTATACTACTGTAATTAGTTTTTGGTTTAATATTAGTATCATCGTAATCGATAAAAGATGATATTTGGCCTCCATATTCAATGATTAACCATAACGATTTAAATGCTAGCTAAAACTCGTCATTATTAACTAGAATAAATTGTCAAAATTATAATTTAAAAGCTGATTTAACATTGAGATAGAGATTAATATAGACTTACGCGAAAAATCGGCCCCTATTTCGAGTCCAATATCTATTGTTGCTAATTATCATTTCACCTTTAGTTTTCAATATTGAATTAGAAAACTATGACATGTATAAATAATTATTATTACCTTCTATTTTGGCATTCACTGCTTCAGGAAGACTTTCATATTCTAAAGGTCGACTTTTGTAAACAGCTAGTGGATGTGTAGTATAATTAAATGATTGCGTTTTCTTGTCTGAAGATTCAATTGCTTTAATTTGTTTAGCCAATTCACTCGAATCATTAAAATGATCTTGCCAAAATTGACGCAAAGTTGTAAATAATTGTACCGCAGTTGGTCGATTTAAAGGGTTGGCATCCAAACATTTATTCATTAAATTCAGCAATAGTTGTGGAACTTTACATCTAATTTCAGGTCGAAGACCTTTACAAATTTCTATTGCAAGATCATTATCGTGTGGAACATCGTGATACAGAGGATAACCGGTTAATATCTCAGACATGATTATCCCAAAAGAATATATTTCTGATTCTTTTGTATATTCTTTCCCATCTAAAACTTCAGGCGCTACATATGGAAGTACACCATATATTTTTTCTTTTCGCCTTTGTAAAATCGCATTTTGAGATATAGGTTTGCATAAACCAAAATCAGTAAAATATGACGAAGTTAAATCATCCATTACAATATTGCCAGCATGAAGATCCTTATGAACTAGTCCTGCATTATGAATTACTTTAAGGCCTAAAGAAATATTACACACGTTTGCTAGTTTATCTTTCAGCTTAATTTTGTATAATGTTTTTTTAACATATCTCTAAGATTTCCAAAAGATGCATATTTCATAACTATCATGTAATCATCATTTTCTGAATTTTTAGTTATGCCATATATTTCGATTATGTCTGAATTTTTCCGAGATTTAAGATGATTTGTAATCTAAAAATGAAATTCGACATATCAAAATAGTAAATTATATATTAGAGAAATCTAAACCTACAAGTTTAGGGTAGAGGCATAAACTCGATTATAACCTAAACTCAAACTTGTAGTTTAGGTTTCGGTTTCCATCCATCCCTAATATAAATAACATTTATTCAAAATTACCTCTTGTAGAAATTCCTTTGTAGCATCAGCTGATTTGTCAAGTCTTTTTAGACAGAATATTTCATTTGCATTATATCTCCTCCATTCGTTAGTTTTATAATTCCAATTAAAAATATTTCCATCAATCCATCTTGCTTTGAAAACTGTGCCAAACCCTCCTTTTGCAAGTTCTTTAACATCTCTGAATCTATCAAAATGAATCCATTCAACAAAATCTTTATAATCCCGCGCATTTAGTTGCCTTTCTTTAATAATTTGATCAATTATTTCATTACCACTAGTCCAATCCTGGAATTTGCTTTTTAATTGCATTGAAATGCATGGGTTGCACCATCTCCAAGGATTGCAGGTAGGTTCCCAACATTTCCGACATACTGTTGAATAGGCTGCTTTTACGGCAAACATATAATTACCTCTTTCTGGATCTTTAGTTAAACCGCACATCGATAAAGCATATTCTCGGCGTCTCGATTGCAGAACCGCCATCGAAATTTTGGTTGAGCTTTGGAGATCAAACAAATTGAGTGATCCATTAACTCCATGCCTACTCCACTTCTTATTTACATAATCCCATTTTTTAATATAACCATCAGTCCATTTTACTTTGAAAATTGGCCGGCTAATTCCATCATTTAGGTTCCTAATAGAATTGAACTTATTAAATGGAATCCACTCAATAACTTCTTCATAATTCCATGCGCTAAGTTGCATTTTTTGGATAAAACTATCAATTACTTCATCACCACTCCAATTAGTGAATTCACTTTTTAGTCGACTGGCATTACATTGATTACACCAATATACGCCAGTGCATAGTTGCAGACATTCGTAACATATATTTTCAGGATCATATTCCATAACTATATAATAATAATGCTTCCGCGGCTCCTTTGTTATACCATGCATTACATTCTTATTCTGAACTTTTCTAATTTCATTTAATTGATTATCTAACTAAAAATATAAAGCAATAAGCAAAATTTGCAAACATTAATGAATATAATAAAATATAGAAATATGATAATTACTTCATGTAAAGATTCGGATAAATTATTACGGCCTTTTAAGCAATATATTTTATTGTCATTACATCTATTCCATTCATTATTTTCACAATCCCATTTCAGAATATGTCCATCAATCCATTTTGCGGTGAAAAAAATGTTAGACTCTCCTTCTGCAAGTTGTCTAATATCGTGAAATTTGTTGTAAGGAATCCATTAAACAACTTCTTCATAATTCAAGGACATATGCTGTTTTTTCCGAATAAATTAATTGATTACTTCATTATCACTAGTCCAATTATTGTATTCTTGAAAATGTCTTGAATTACATGGTTTGCACCAATCATTCCCAGTTCTTGGCTGCTGACATTCTTTACATATACCAAATTCCAAGCTGGAATTTTCAAATTCTTCATTATTACTCGGGTCAGTCAGTAACATTTTTTTTTTTGGTTTCTACTCAAATTGTAATTATCACTTATTCTTCATAGAATAAGTGGATGAAAATATTTAAAATTTAAAAATTCTACCGTAAAAATTGCATGTGTCGATACTTTAAGTAAAAAGTTGGCAAATTAACGTTAAGTATAACGATAACGATAAACGTAAAAATTTTATAACGATAAAAAAGGAACAATCAACGTTAAATACCTGATTCTCATCGTGTAACTCAGTTAACGTTACTGTTACCATGGTTACGATCAGGTAGAATGTCACACTACGTATTACTTAAAAAAATAGAATATTTTGAGTGCGCTAATTTCTCAAAAGAATTTTTCTGGAAACCACCATTCACCTCAAGATGCTATTAATGCCTTTAAAAAAACTATTTCATCTTTTTACAAGAGTGAACATGAGAAGAAAACATTTATAATCAGTAAATTACAGGTCTGCATTTTTTAAATTGTTTTTAATCGTTTCTACATAGAAGATGATGAACTTTATCTTTAAGCAGTGACAAAGTATTGTCTAGAGCATTGCGGCTCTACAAACTAAACCACCTTCTTTTGCCAACCGAACTGTCCTTTTTGTGTATGGTCCAGAGTCTTACAACTTTACCAACCGAACTGTCCTTTTTGTACTTTACATTTAGATAGAGTATGGTCCAGAGTCTTACAGCTCTACCAACCGAATTGTCTTTTGTACAGTACTTTACCATTAGATGAAGTATGGTTCAGAGTCTTACAGCTCTACCAACCGAACTGTTTTTTTTGTACCTCAGTTCTTTTACTTCATATATTATGGTTCAGAGCCTTACAGCTTTACCTAGGGATGTTACGGTTCAGCAAGGACCACGGTCCAGACCAGTCTTTTGAACCGGTCTAAGCGGTCCACGGTCCATAAATTAGGACCGGTCCCAATAGGTCAGTCCATAATAAATTCTGCGATTATATAATTATGTAATGGTAAATATATGCAATAGCATTTCTATTTGATCATTCACCTTGAAGCAGAAAACGTATCTGCAATAGCGTAATAACAGTAATAGTGAAGAATTTTAACTTGCAAAAAAGTACATATGTACGTACATACATATTTGATATCAGATATATATATGTCAATTCAATTCTTTATCGCAATTAAGTGATAACTTTGTAATCCCAATTTAAAACCATTCAATGTTTTATAAAAAAGCCGATGTACGTCAAATTATTGTTTTTACATATTATAAATTATTTATAACTCAAAATTTCCCACTTTTTTGGATATTAATAAAAAAAGGCAATTTCTTGTAAAAAATTATTTAAAAGTTGCGAATTTTCAAGGTTAGAGCCATGAGCAAAAAGTCTCAAACCTACCCCATGGTTAAATGGTGGTCTCCTTTCAATTTTTCAAATTTTTCAACGTGAAAGAA